TGCACCAACAATCTCAGGAAAGTCAGAACATAGAAGCACTAGAGTGGCCGGCTAAAGTCTAGGACACCCAGTTAAATCTGAACTTCAGATACAACTTATGCTGAAAAATTATTCATTGTTTATCTGAAATTCAGTTTAAACGGGGCGTCCTGTATTTTTATTTGCTAAATCTAGCAACTCTAAGAACGACTTTTCTGTCGAACACATTTGTTGTACATTCTTTTCAGTGCATTGTTTCAGATTTACAAAACGTGACTTGTTTTCAGAGACATAGATGTGGGGTTCATTCAGATTGTTTTAAGGACACTTTCCTTAAGAATCTTTGTTCTTTGGGTCCTTTGAGACAGTGCTTTTATCTCGGTGGTTTAGTGTGCCATCCTTTTATAACCTGGCAGAAAGAATTACCTTAGCGAATGTGTTCTTGTAAGTGATCTTACTCTCTGTGCCTGGCGTGCTCGAACCTGACTCTGTCAGCGGCAGCTGGAAGGTGCGGAGTGCCTTCTTCACGACGAGCGTCACTGTGCTGGGCTCTCCGTGTCCTCATAGGTCACAACACGCGGACTAGACCTGGATTTATCCCTGGTTCTGCCACCGAATGGCGGAATGTGTTGGGATCAGCTGTTTACTGTAGCTTCATATTTTACAAAGTAGGATCGTTAATGCCTGCCTCACCAGGCTTAAATACAATGCTACCTTTCCCCCCCAACATCACTAATGTAAACACTTTTCAAAATCCCATAGAGAAATCCAGGAAGAGAAAGAAGGGAGAGCAGAGATCCGTCCCCGGCCACAGAAGCAACGTGCCCGTCAGAACCACCACCCAGGCCTCCTGAATCCCGTCTGATACTTTTTACCCTTACGTTTGATGTGTTTACAGTCATCTATTTCATTTTTATGCATTCGTATGCAATTACATTTAACTTCATATGACAGCAAAACCCAATATGTATGTAAATTAACTTCTGAACACAATATAAACTTCGATTCGGGGAGGAGAGGTCACTTAATGGTTGGTCTCGGGTTGCGCATTACCGTACCCCTGGTCCAGCACGGTGCCTGACACACTCAGGGATCGTTACCTCATAGAAAACTCCATTCTAGAAAAAAAATGGAGCCTTAAAAGTGAATCCAATTAAAATAGAGAAATCTTAGTGGGAAGGTTTTGATTGGCACTTTATGATGAAAAATAGAACCACAGATTATGAAAGTAAATTTATTTTAAATTTAGTAAGATTTAGATTATAATGAAAACTCCATGCTAATTTTTAGAATAAACAATTCATTTTCTGACAAAACTACATCATGAATATCTTTACTTCATGTTTGACTTTTGCAGCAGGATCAAAAAGAGAGTCTTGTTTTTTCCCCAAAATTGTGTTTTTGAATTAGTATTTGAAGACCTCATCAGTTTTTCAAAGGACCTTTCTTAATCTAGAATGTAATTTTTTGAGTAGAATTCTCTTTTCAAGTATCTGTCATGTCTTTAGCCTCGTCGATTCTTCACTTGTTATCTGGTATTCAGTTGGGCATCGCCCTTCATTGTTAGGGGCGTTGTGGAACGTTAGAGCAGTTCTCCAGCGTCACTTCTGTCTACTTCTAGAACTTCTGAATCTTATATGAGAATTTTAATTTCAGTTTGCAGGAGATTTGTATTGTGTAGAGACTGAAGTATTAAGAATGAACGGGAGAGGTCAAAATTAGTCTTCAGAGTAAAGGCCCGCTTGCTTCCTACAGCCACACAGGTCATGCAAGGCAGGAATCCTGAGGGAGAGGTGTGTGAGCCTATTCACTCTTACTTGTGGCTGATTCTAAGTGATTGCTTTGATGTTATGAGAACATATGCCTTCCTATGCACGCGTATAACTACAGGGACTCATAATCAATAATGTGGTCATGAGAAACCCTTTGTCCCCATGATTGGTGGTTAATGAAAATGGTTGATTGAATGACTGAGCATATTAAATCTGCTTTTCCTGTGTCATTTTGAGTTCATCTCCAAGAACATATCTAGAGATAAAACACTTGTGAAACAATTAAATACAGTAATAAGAACACATAACAAAAGACTTTGGAGCACCGGCTCTGTTAAAGACACGTACGAGGCACTGCAGGGAATCTGAGAATAAATCAGCCATGATATTATGAGGCTCACATCAGAGGGATGGTGAGCCCTGATCGCTAAGATGATGTTGGTTTTCTGTAACAGATACACCAGCATTCAGATATTCAGAAGACTGTTGGCCCTTTTGGTGCCGTTATGTTAGGAGCCTTGCTTTATTCACTCTTGTTGAGGACATACTATGGGACAGGCATTTTCTGAGTACAGGGGCTGCAGAGGTGACAAGGTCAGACAAGCAGCTTGGATGGAGTTAAATCTTGTCTGAGGAGACAGACAATAAACCAGCAGACTGGTAAACAAGAAAATACCCAATAGTGAGAATTCAGGTAGCGTGGGGTGGGAACTTGAGGTCTGGAGGCCAGCTTAGGTGGGTGATCAGGGAAGACCTGTCACAGCAGGGGGTGTGGGAGCTGCGACGGGCTGGGTGCCAGGAGAGGAGAGGATTCCAGATGGGCCAGTGAGAGCTTGGCATGCTGGAGCCCCGAGGAGGCCAACGTGGGCGAGGGAGCCAGGGGAGGGGTTTAAAAGAGTGTGGGTTTAAATAAATAAATAAAATAAATAAATAAAAGAGTGTGGGTCTAGTCTCAGTTCAGTGAGAAGCCAAGTAGGGTAGTTAAGATGTTAAGATCTATTTTGTTAAAAGAGTACTCTGGCTGCTGTGTGGAGAATGGATCGACAGGGGCAAGTATAATGTCAGAGAGACCAGAGGGGCTGTGGCCACAGTCCAGCGAGACGTGGGGGTGGGGACCGGGGTGGTAGCACAGGAGACAGACACGAACATTGGAGAGAAGGTTTGGGAGTCTGTTGGCAGGACGGGATCTGGACATGAGAACTGAAGGGAACACGTGTAGAGGAATTCCTCGGTGTTCGGTTTGAGCAACTGAGGTGTATAGTGATGCTGTTTATTATAAGAGAAAACTGGCACAGGGGGGAGATTGGAGCACGGTGACATTAGGAGTCCTGTTTCCACCATTTTCAGTTGTCTGTTTAGACATCCACGTGGAGTTGTCACGGAGGTGGTTTGATTAAAAAGTTTTAAAAACGATCGCCATTTTTGAACAGGAAGAAGGAAGTTGTGGCCAAGCTTTAGGTTTTCTGCTGAAATAGTTAAAAATGCTTATTTTCATATTGGCTTAACAATTTAAGTTACATATACATATTTGAAAGTCACATAAGATATGTTAATGTAGGCATATTGTTTATTTCCTATCTCATATTCTACAACTCAGTTTTGTTCAGAAGCTTCCTGTATTTGACAGCTTCACATGCATTTTTGACATCAATGCTTTGACCTTACTACTGAAATTTCAGGGGGTTATATAAACGTTTTCCAGAGCATGGCACCCTCATTTATAAGTGTTTAAGATGCAACATTATTTTATCAGAGTGTGGTGTTGTCACTGGAAAGTTTGTCCCAGGCCACAGCATGAATTTATAAAATATTAGGACAGTTATGGTTTTAAAAACCTCAGTGCTGTAGGCATATGCTTGTACCTACTATGTCATTTGTAAAAGAGACCTTTAAAAGGCTTTGATAATTTATCCAAAACCTGAAATTATGAGTCATTCTTATATGTGTTACTTTTTTACCCCTTCCATTCTAGACTGGCAACATTACAGAATAATATGTATTTACCAAACAATGCATTGTAGTTCAAACTAAAATAATTAAGGGAACATCCCATAAATGAAAGGCTTAGTAGAGATTCGGGAATAAGGCAGCCTCTTCTCTCCCCCTCTGCGTTCTTCTCTTTTCACTTTATAAATTGTGGAGATTATTCATGTCAGTGTTCCAGTGCCTGCCTCGTGCCCCATTGTGGAAACACGCCATGGTGCATTTAGCCAGCCTTCCATGGGTGGGATGAGGCTGCTGCTTACCTTTGCTGTAACAAACTGTATGACCATAAATACCCTGGTCCTTCCTTTGCCACATGTGTGAAATCCCAGGTACAAAGGATAAATGCATTTTAAAATTTATTACATATTGCCTATTTGCCTTCCAAAGAGGTGATAACAATTTTTACTACAACCACATGACTGTCTAATATCTGTACCCCAACACCCTCCGAAACAGACGTCTTTCTCCTGGCCGTTCGGTGAAACTGATCAGTGTAGTGTTGTAAAGTGGGGATTGCGTGACTCTTATTATAGGCAAATTCTTTTAACCGTCCTCAGTGATAGCAAGTTTTTTTCTTTTGAAGATACATTTTAGTTAAAATTAAAAACAAATGATTTGAATTTTCTTGGGCTGAATTTTTAAGATGAAATATTGCCTACTTTTAAATTTTCTTCCTTTATACCAGGAGCAGATGATCTAGAAGAGATCATTTTTACCATTATTGAATGAGCAGTATTAGGAAATATTTTCGGAAGTCCAAATCTTTCTACACACCAGATCAAATTGTTTCTATTTTCCATGTCTTCTGCTCAGTCTAACCTGTATATAGCAATACAGATAAAGCCATCAAGCTAGCCCAATTTAGATAAATATTTGTTTTTAATTTTTAAATAACTTTACAACAAGTTGTTTTTGAACAACAAATTAGTTTTCGTAGTTAAGTTTTTCTAAAGCTGTTGTCAAATTTAGTGTCTTTAACACAAAGTGATTTTGAGAGACGTAGACTTGATGCTTGATGTACTGTAAACCAGATATCTGAAAATACACATATCTAAGCATCATACTTTATTAAAATGTTCATTGAAACAATTATCCTTTATAGTTTTCACAATAGAAATGTCTTAAGTAAACCATCTTGTTTACATTTTCCATGACAAATTGGATTATTATCTGATCAGCTTACTGTGAAAGGGTTTATAGCAGCTTTCAGGGGCAGCGCCCATCTTTCTTAAATACGTGACACGTGTGCTCTCTGTCCTGCAGAGACATGGTCAATGCATGGTTTGCTGAGAGAGTCCACACCATCCCTGTCTGCAAGGAAGGCTTCCGAGGCCACGCAGAGTCTTGCTCCTGCCCACCGTCGCAGAGCCCCCGCACAGAGAGCAGCGCCCCTGGAACGCCAGCCAGGAAAATCTCAGCCTCCGAATTTGACCGGCCTCTTAGACCGATTGTCATCAAGGATTCTGAGGGCGCCGTGAGTTTCCTCTCTGACTCAGAAAAGAAAGAACAGATGCCTCTGACCCCCCCAAGGTTTGACCATGATGAAGGGGACCAGTGCTCAAGACTCTTGGAATTAGTGAAAGATATTTCTAGCCATTTGGATGTCACTGCATTATGTCACAAAATCTTCTTGCATATCCATGGACTCATCTCCGCTGACCGCTATTCCCTGTTCCTGGTCTGTGAGGACAGCTCCAATGACAAGTTCCTTGTCAGCCGCCTCTTTGATGTGGCAGAAGGTACAACACTGGAAGAAGCTTCCAACAACTGTATCCGCCTGGAATGGAACAAAGGCATCGTGGGGCACGTGGCAGCGTTGGGTGAGCCCTTGAACATCAAAGATGCGTATGAAGTAAGTAGGAACCACTGAACACAGTGGGCGGCTTGGGGAGGGGAACATGAATGGTGGGGCACTGGGCAGTACTGTGAATGGTGGGGAGATTTGAAACGGAGACATAACCTTTGCGTGTTTATTTAAAATTGGAATGTATGATAGGAACTTCTGCACCTTTTAAATGCCAGAGTTTCATCATTGGTGATTGAGTCAAACATATGGGTCTGAGCAGAATCTTTTCTTGTTTTTCTCCCTAATGATACTTTAACATAGCTCATCTCGTAGCTGTCTCCTCTCATCGTTTGGCCTAGTACTGTACATTTTCCTATCCATGTTATCTGCACATGAACTTCAGAGGATTTTACTGAGATTCTAAAATGAGGGGTGCAAAAACTGCCAAAACCCCAAAAAACCCATAGCCTTTTTCTATTCATTCATTCATTCAAAATCATCCTCATTCATTTAAAGTCCTACTAACACCAAAGTCTGATTTTCTTTCTTTCTATCCATTTCATTGAGCAAGTAAATGTATGAGTAACTTTTAAAAATGAGAATTTTTGCTCTAAAATGTTTCAGTCGAAAGATTTGCTATTCCACTTCTACAGTGCAGGTCTTTAATTATGAACTTAAAGATTATACAATAAAACTCTTCAAATTTCACACTTAAAGTGATCCTTTTTATTTATAGTATTACCAGTTTTAAACAGAGCATCTTAATGGAATGACACATGTGTTTATATTTTCTGGCACTTTGAGAGAATTGTTGTGGTAGCTACTTGCTACATCTATATCCTCATAGGTCATAACACTGTACTATACTCTAAAGGTCTGTGGTTGTCCCAGCTCACAGCTCCTCTGTAATTCAAGGTTCGTAGCTGTTTTATTCACCTCTGCATCTCTGGTGCCTAATACAGTGCCTGGCGCACAGTCAAGTCTTAACAAATAAGGATTCGGTGAAAATTATAGTAGATTAAGATAGATAAGAAGCAGAGAAAGCAGATCATGAGAGATGCCGAGGACAGTGTGGTGGGTTCAGGGAAGCAGAAGTTGACAGTTGGTTGGCGAGACGGAGAGGAAGCAGCGCTTGATAATGGACCCTGGACAATAGAGAAGATGTGAATACGTTCAGTTGTGTGGAGGTGGAGGTGTAGAAAAGTTCAAAGAAGAGACAGGGAATTTGGGCCATGGAGCACTTGTGTGGAAGCGTGTGGGTCATAGGCAGCTCAGACGTTGAGGACCTGTGGAAGCAGAGCCTGGAGACAGCTGGGGTCTTGAGTGCCAGGCTGAGGTGTATGCATGTGGTCCAGAGCCAGGAGCAGAACTGAAGATGGTTTCAGAGGGGGACCAGTGGTTTCAGACTGTGCTTTCAAAAGATGAATTTCACGGTGGTCATCAAATGAATTAGAGGGGAAAATGCTAGAAGCTGGGAGGATAGAGGATTTTAATAGGAAGAGGAAGTGAGGACCTGACCAGGACACTGGTCTTAAAGATTGAAAGGAGGGAGTGGAATTCAGATGAAGAAATAGAATCTGCTGGACTCGGCAGCTCATCGGAGATAGAGGTGAGGGCAAAGGGAAGTTGAAGATGGCTGGGGTTTTGAAGGTGGGTGAATGAAGGAATGAATGGATGAAACTGGTAAGGCATCCTGAGAGCAGGGATCCGGGGGCAGATGTGATAGTCCGAGTTCATTAGATCCTGACATAATTTCCAGAATCCATTCTGTACAAGCCATCTATTCAATGTGGATTCTTTGCGGAGCTGTCTCCGTGGCCTCTTTGCGCTCTGTAGTAACGTCACACCATAGCTGACCCCACAGGGGTGTTAAGGACACTGCTGAAGGATTGCTGCCAAATTTGCAGAATTCCCTTCCTGTCTTAGGTGACAGCTGGGTTTCCACTTGTCAATGGCCCTGTCATCCCAAGTTCAGTAGGATCATAAATATGCTTCGGCTACACCGAGAACGCCTTCCTTTGTCCACGTGGCCTAAGTTTCTCCAGCCCAGAGAAGTCTTTCCCTTACATGCACTGTGTTTATTCTGCTTACCATCTTCAGGGGTTTGACAGTGTAGTGTTTGTTTTGCAGTTGGTAGTGATTTAATTCTTGCCCTGCGGCCTCACAGAGGCCGTGTCCTTGACTTTGGGTGCTCCCAGCTGCAGCCTCTGAGCCTGCGATGTCTGTGTGCCCACTCCACCCTTGGTGTCCATGATCTGTGTGTGTAGTGGCCTCGCAGAAGTGTTACTCATGCCCCGGGAATTTCATTAGGAGCTGTGGGATTGGCCTGCGACATATAATTTGCATTGGTATTAGCAGTGGGAGTCAGCCCCAACCAAGAATTTGAATAAACACATTACCATCTCATAGCCTTTTGTGAAAGTAGTCATAATCTGAAAATACATCCTCCTGTTTTTTGAGTCCTATCTCTTCAAACATGCATCGGTAAGAATGACACCTTGTAGCAATACTTCTTAAGCTTATTTGACCACAGAACACTTTCAGAGTGTATAATGTAGCATTGGAAAACCAAAGTGGCCATGACATGTAATCATGCTCGAATTGAAGCTAAGAATAAAAAAGGAGTCTCACAGATAAATTAACTGTAAGCAAGAGTCACCATTTGATTTGATATTTAAAACTTTGTAACAGAATGATAAAAATTGGAGAATTCAACTATTTTATTATAATAAGATGACACATTCATATATTTGAAACATTAAGATAAGACCTCCAACTTAGACCAGCCATGCTGAGTGCCATCCTGGACCCCCATGAAGGGGTTCCTCGGGGAGCGCTGCCCAGGTACTGACATTTGGTCATATGTCATCTCCTGAGTCAGCCCATTGTTCATGCAGCTTTCTTGAATGTGGCACAGGGCTTATTGATAATGAGATATTAAGACATAATAACCAGAACAGCAATATAAATGTGTTTGGTGTTTTCCTTGTATATGAAAACTAGATATCACCCAATATCTGTATTGGGTTGTGTGTTAGGGTTCTTCAGAGAAACAGAACCAATAGCAGATATATATATATATATATATATATATATATATATATATATATATATATATATATATATATATATGGGTTATATATATATGGGTTATATATATATGGATTTTATATATATATATACATATGGATGGATTATATATATGTATGGATTATCTATATATATGGGTTATCTATAGATATATAGATATATCAGAAGAGATTTATTATAGGAATTAGCTCACTTGGTTACAGAGGCCAAGAACTGCCTGCCATCTGCAAGCTGGAGCACCAGGAAAGCTAGTGGTATAATTCAGAGTCCAAAGGCCTGAGACTCGAGGGCCACTGGTGCATGCCTGGTCTGGGTCTGAGCCTGAAAACCTGCGAACCAGGAGCTCCGAGAGACGGCAGGAGGGCAGGAGAAGATGGATGTCTCAGCTCAGGCAGACAGCGGATTCACACTTCTCTGCCTTTTTGTTCTCTTCAGGCCCTTAGCGGATCGGACAATGCCCCGCTCACTGGTGGAGATCTGCATCACTCAGTCCACAGACACACCCAGAAAGAGTGTTTGACCAGCTGTCTGGGCATCCCTGAGCCCAGTCAAGTTGACACATACAATTAAGGAGCACAGATTGCCTGGAACCCCTAGTTCCATGTCCTATGGGAGCCACAAGCCTCCCTAAGAGTTCCTATGCCAAAGGACTCGCATTGTCAGAACACCCTTCTGTCTGCCAGGTCAACTGGAACATAAAACTGGGGCTCCTCTGCCTCCCCAGGGCAGCCACTCCACGTGTGCCCTGATTTCTAGGGGGAAGACGTGGCGGGTCTTAGGAGAGGGTGGCACTGCCACTCATGTGGCCGTCGCCGAATAGCTGCTCTTCCTCCACCCCCACTCCATGCCTCCCTTTTCATTCCTTCTCCGGATAAATAAATCGTCACCATCTCTCACCTTGCAGACCTCACTGTCTACGTATTTATCAGGGTATTTTCCTCTAGAAATACGAGTTCTCTCAAATGTTTTTCTGATGAATAAAATTATTTCCAAAATGAATTGTACAAGAAAAAAATAACACAAATATTTTAATTTTGATAAATCTCCCAATCTGTCATGACATAATTGTGCCCCAGGGAACACGGTTTGGGAACTGCTATAGCTGTCTTTGTTCACTGTTCTAATCATCTTTAGGCATTGTCTTAAAAATGCCACTCTGTGGAAGAAAACCATCCTATAATTTGGCAAGCCTGCTGTGTTGTTTCATTCCTTGTTGTTGTTTTCTGTTATTTTTATATAACTTCAAACTTAGAGAAAAATTGCAAGACTCGTACAAGAAGCTTCCATGTACCCATTACCCAAAGTCTCCAGTTGTTTATGTTTTGCCCCATTTTCTTTATAATTTTCTCTTTTTCTATACGTAAGGCATATAACTATAAGCATATTATTTTTCCTGAACTATTTAGTAAGTTGGAGGCATTTTTACTAAATATTTCAGTGTATATTTTCCAACAAGCACATTCTCTTATGCCATTGTAACAATATATCAAAATCAGGAAATTTTATGATACAATACTATTATCTAACAGTCTATAGTCAGATTTGGTCAGTTGTCTTATTAATGTCTTTTATAGTTATTTTTTCCCTCTGATGAGAGATCTAAGCCCAGACCGCATCTGGCGCATAACTTGTCGTATCTCTTTAGCCTCCATTAAATATGGAGTAGTTTCTCAGTGTTTACCCTTCTTGATGTGTGTTTTACAAGAATAGAGGCCGGTTATTTTGTAGAATGGCCTTCCTCAATAGATTCCGTCTAGGGCATAGTCCTTCCTGTCAAGGCCTCGCCTCTCTGTCTCGGCTGAATGCCCGAGGTGCTCAGGGAGGTCAGGTTCCTCTGGCTGGGCTGTGACCCTTTCCCTACCTGCTGTCAGCATCCTGCTGCAGCCTTCAGCAGCCATGTTTGCTCTTAGAGCCTGGTCCTGTGCATGTCTGAACAGAATAGACACTGCGTTTCTGCCATCCCTCCTTTAAACCCCTCTCTTCAACCCCCCAACAGAGTCTTGCAAATTCCAGCCACTCTAGGAGCCCCAAATTCTTTTCAGCACCATTTGGAGCTGTCGCTCCACTTGGGTACCACCTGCCTTCCCCCCCGGCAAGAAAGTGCCCCCCCGAGAAGGAAGACCAAGTAACGCATATACATTTCCCGTCTTCGGGGTCTGTGGTGTAGCGCCTCACACATAAGATCTAGTCTTATGTTTTCAGCAGGAGGGCAAGTGGGTGCCAGCTGCTTTATTAAGACAAGTGATATCCAAGGCTTGTGTTTTTCACACTGGCCTGCTCTCATATAGGAAAAGGAATGAGCACAATCGTAGCAGTGCTCCATTTTCCCCTTGGCGCTCGCTTCCTGGACCTGGCGGGGTTAGCCGTTCTCTGTGTGTGTTGCCTTTGCACTGAAAGCATTTTTAAGGTAAAATTCTGTGAGATTCTGAAGTTCACCTGCAGTGAATCTGAAGCGTGCATTACTCCCACCTCCTCAGTGAACAGTGAGATCCAGGACTGCTGTTGACTCTAACGTCTGGCGTGCACCCAAAGCTGCGAAAGGCCTACTAACTCCAGACAGTCAAACTCTGTGGCCTTGAGTAGATCGCTGGGTTTACTCCTCTTTACAAATCGGACTTGTAATTAAAAATGTTCATTAACAAAATAATTGCCAAGGATGCATTTTTATTCATAATTTGATATTAGCTTGTGGAATAATTCACTATATAAGTTAATTATTTTTTACTTCTTTAATTCATCCATGTCCGTATCCTGTCCACTTTCATTAGATACTTTGCAATATAGTATGTTATTTAAGAACTATTTCTTAGAAACATTCAGTCAAGGTTTTGTGTGTGTGTTTCCATATAGCTTGAAGCATATTTGCAGAAAAAGCAAAAATACAGTAGTGTTTATAATATAAAATATTTATACTGATTTTCCACCATTTTATAACTTTTCTTTAGAGATTGTCTCTAATGCCAAGTTTGGCTCTCTTAGGGGAAAATTGGCCTCATTTCTGACCCCAATTGAGTGAATCTAGTGTAATCATTTACTTCATTCACAGCCTTGGCTTTGCATGACTTTAGACTAATTAAAAAAAAAGAAAGAAAGAAAGAAAGAAATGACCTTCAAAGATGAGGATTTTCCAGTGTGGCTATTCCATATTCTCTAAAGGGAATTCCAAAAGCAGCATTTTGAGAGCAGTGGTGCTATTATTAGGTTGAGCATGTAACTTCCCATGGCCACTGCTTTGAAAGGAACAGCACTCATTGAAATATTTATGTTCTGGTATGTTTGTTTCCATCCTAATCTTATCCCATACTGTAGTATCTGTCCGTTTCCTCTAGTAAACACCCCTCCCCTCCCCCACACCAACTTACCAGATATGCTTTAAATGGTAATAAGCTAAAAATGATCACATTTGATAACTAGGATGCCATTTGTTAATGAATTCCTTCATTTATTTAACAAATGGCTTTTAATTCTGATAGGAATATTGAGAACACACTAATGAATGAAGAAAAAACCCCTACTGGGGTTTACAGCCTAACTTGAATCCGGCCTACAGTTCAATGGGCAGTGGCCTGCACCTTTCTTTCTTAAACCCCCGTTGAGAACTCTTACACCTCTCAAAGTCCTTTGTGGCTACTAGATGTGCATGGTGTACTTTGTAAAATGGGAAAGGCATTCAGAGATTAGGGGTGGTTTACAGTCTGATTGAGGCCATACAGAAAAGATGAGATTTCAATGCTTATGAACACCTAAGACAGAAGAACAGAATCCTGACGAAATACATGAACAATCACAGGGGAAGTGGAGTCAGTATTGGAATGGTCGTTTTGGAGGTAAGAGGTTTTATAGGAAACGTTTCCGAGCAGAGATGCTTTTCTTCTGGGTGGCACAGCAGAGCCAGGCAGTGAGGTGGGAGCAGGCTAACTGTATTACAGAGGTGAAGTGCTACTTTTTCCAGAATTCAAGCAAGGCTATGGAAACCGGTCAGTATTTCGAATTCCCTTTATTTCTGGGCATTTGTTTGAGTCTGTATTTTTTAAGCTCGCATAAACCCTCGCTTCTAAAAAATCTAAATTTATCTTTGTCAGAGATGATATGTACTTGCATGATTTGTTGCCTTTTACAACCATAAAATTGTTATTCAGAGCAACAAGGTAAGTCGAAGGTTAGATTTCTCTAATCTTATAAATCAGAAAAATCAAATCAGTCTTTGAACAGGTCAGTCATGAAATTGAATTTCTTTTTCCTTACCAGGATCCCCGATTCAATGCAGAGGTTGACCAAATTACAGGCTACAGGACACAAAGCATTCTTTGTATGCCAATTAAGAATCACAGGGAAGAGGTAAGCCCATTTTCCATTTCACAAAAGGTCATCTGGAAGCATTTTTCTTTTTGAAAAAAAATTACTTTGCGCACTTATGAAATGATACTACAGTGACAAGTTAACTGTAAAGTGCTCGGATGTTCTGTTTGATATATTCTTTTTTAGACTTTAGTTATAGGGTTGAATCCTGCTAGAGACTTTCCTGTGACTTAGAAATTACTTTCAGACATTGCATTTCCTTATCCTCCCACTCCCCTTGGGGCCTTTTTCTATCCAAGATATATGATTGTTGTTGTGGTTCTTATCAATTTATTTCACATTATATTTTAAGTTTGTCTGAATAATGTTCCTTTCATAAATGGTTATCTAATTGCAATGATCATCACCTGATTTTTTTTTTTCGGATTCAAAGAGAGGTTTTGAAAACAACGGAAATTGTAGCTAATCCCAAGTAAATATCATTGTACAGATATGATAAGCAAATGAAAATATCTTGGTTTATGCTTCACCTAACTAGAAGGTTTGGATTCTGTTAGTACTGAATTCCCTTTCATTTTATACTTATTTAAAAAAATAAAGTTAATAAATTATCAATTAAGCTGAGTGTTCTCAACTCTGGCTACACATTACAGTCAAGTGAGGAACTTCTAAAATATTACCAATTAAATCAGAATATTCTAAGGGCAGGGTCTGGATACTGATACATTTTTAAAGCTCCCCATGTAATTCCAAAGTATAGCCAGGGTTGCAAACCACTACTCTAAGTGGAAGTCAATATTGGGTCGACAGGAAAGTCATGACGCATTTTTGCATTGAAAAACATAGAAAAATACATCATGACTTTCCCGATGACCCAACAGATGGGAAGAGCCCACATTAGTGGTTCTCACTTTGGCAGCACATCACCGTCACTTGGGGAGTGTTTAGAAAGTCTGATGCCCAGGCTTCACCTTAAATGGGCTCTCTGGGGTTGGGACCCAGGCATCAGTATGGTGATTATAACATGTGGTTAAGCTTGAGAACCACGGCCAGGCGTACGAGCAACACTTTGATGCATCTACTTGATTATATTCAAATCCTGACATATTTCCTTTCTCTTCTCCACTGGGTCCATTACCAAGTCCCATTGATTTTTTCCTGTTAGAGTGTTTCTCATTTCAATTCCTTTCTTTTCATTCCTGCTGCCTGCATGATAATTCAGATCTCGAAGTAATGCCTGAACTTGTAAAATATTCTTGTAAGGGGTTTCTATGCTTGCAGTCACTCTCCCTTCAGTCCACCCTGCATAGGCCCGGGGAATTTCCCCAAAACACAGCTTTCTAAATCAGTGCTCCTAAAACATGAGCGGGCATCTGAGCCACATGGGGATTTCGTTAAAATGCGGATTCTGAATTCAGCAGGCCTAGGTGGGCCCTGAGAATCTTTCTAACAGGCACCAAAGTTGATGGTGACGTCCGGGTCTGCAGGTCACATTTGATGAACAGGATTCTTGGTCAGTCACTTCTCACTAGTCTAATTTTTCAGTGACGTAGAGTTGCAACATGGTTTCTTAAGAGGGGAGTTATAGCCTCAGTTACTAAAAATATCTGCAGCTAAAACATGAATACGAGATTGATTAATTAATTATGTGAATGAATAAATAAAATTGAAAAGGCCATGCATGGACTAATGATGATAATGTTATTAACTGGATTGCCAAAAACAGCAAATAAAAAGCATGTCCCATGCAATATTTGGGACATAGTTATACTACAAAAGTATTTGTTGTTCATCTGAAATTAAATTTGACTAGACGTCCGGTATTTTATCAGGAAGTCCACGTTATGGAGACAGTGTTCAGATTTTACCTACTACACATGCTTTAAAATTGTGGCCCCAAACCAGCTTTGTACCGGCCAGGCGACTCAGCCTGTCGCGCTCTGGTTGAATTTCTCTTTCTAAATAATGCAAACCATCTCTCCAAGAGTGGGGGTTGAGGGGACCCTGTGAGAATGTGCACCAGTGTCACCGGGGAAGCGAGTGGACAGCCCTTCTGGGAGAGAGCATCCTCCGGAGTCACATGTTCTCTTTGGGTGACTACCTGTGGGGATGGTTTAAGCAACAACAGTAGAAACCCCAGCTGTACTGCGGCATAACTTACACACAGTACAAGCCACCCATTTTAAGGAGACAATTTGATGAGTTTTGACAAATGTGTATGTAACATTACAGTCTTGTAACCACCAGTATAATCAGGATATAGAACGTTTGTCACCTCAGATATTTCCCTGTACGCTTTGAAATTGGTCTCCCCTGCCCCTGTCTCAACTCCCAGCACCTGACACTCATCAGCCTGCTTTTGTCACTATTGTTTTGCCTTTTCTAGAATGTCATATGAATGGGATCCTCCAGTATGTCGTCTCGTATGTCTGGCTTTCACTTAGCATAATGCTGAGAGATTCATCCACGTTGCCGCACCATCAGTGGTTTGTTCCTTTCTATTGCTGAGTGACTTAGTCCGTGAAATGGATACACCACAATTTGATTATCCAATCCTCAGTTGATAGACATTTGAGTTTCCAGTTTTTCACTATTGTGGAAAGAGCCGCTGTCGATGTTTGCATACAGGTTGTTATAGGCACATAATGTTCTCATTTCTCTTGGGTAAATACAGTTGTCCCTTGAGCAACATGGGGTTAGGGCCACTGACCCTACACAGTCGAAAATAAATCCACATATAACTTTTGACTCCCTATAAACGTAACTACTAATAGCCTACTGTTGACCAGAAGGAAGACTAAGGATGACATAAACAGTCCATTAACACATGTTTGTATGTATGTTATATATATATATATTACATACCATATTCTTACAGTAAAGTAAGCTAGAGAAAAGAAAATGTTAAGAAAATTATAACATTCATCTGCAAGTTTTTTCAAATTGTTGCAAATCTCCAAAATTTTCTCGAATACATTTATTGAAAACAATCCACATATAAGTGGACACATGTAGTTCAAACCTGTGTCGTTCGGGGAGGGGGGGTTTCTAGGTCACATGGTAGGTGTACGTTTAATTTTATAAAAAAGTTCAAGCTCTTTCCAGAAGTGGCTGTACCATGTGCACTCTTACCAGCAACTTGTGCGTTCCAGTTGCTTCACATCCTTGTCAACACTTGGCATTATCAGCTTTTAAAATTTTAGCCATTCTAGTGGGGATGATTTAAATTTGGTTACATGAATATATAACCCCACTCTCAGCCAAGGGCCATCGGGTCACTTAGAGATCTGATTAAAGTGGGGTCAGCCACAGGTCCCCAGATTGTGATTGTCCAGAACTCTCCGAGTGTCCTCAAGTTTGTTTGCTCCACATCCTCTCTGCTGTTTCTGTTTTGCCCTGTGATGACGTGATATGAAGCCTGTGCTCTTCACTGGTTTCCACAGACATTCATTCACACCAAGCATTTCATGAAATAAGAAACCGTTAGTAACTTCACTGTAGACTCAGATCTTTTGCCAAAGGGAAGATTTCCGCATGCAGCTTTTAAATATCTCGCTGACCCCCCTCATTCTCTATCCGGTCCCCCTGTTCCCTCTTCTCCCACAGTCACACCACCCAGTTCGAAATTATCTCCTGTGAGAATTACTTCTTGAGAGAAAGGGAACAAAGAGAAATAGTCCGAGGACATACTGTCAGCTTGGCTATTGCCGTATAAAAAAGTAATTTGACAGACCAAGAAGCAAGGCCTCTAAGAAGAAGCAATATATGACTTCCAGAGTTATCTTTAAATTTATAGCTGCATAAACACACTCAGGGCAGTTTTGCTTATGGGTACACACAAAAGAACTCTTTCTCTCACCAAGCTTTTGAAGTCAAAATGGAGAGTCACGATAAGGCTTCTGGGAGTACTGGTGAAGGTTTTTGCTCCGGGCTTGCATCGTATCTTCACCACTTTCTTGGTATTAGCTGATAATCCCTTTGACCTTCAGTTTCCGCATCTGCAAAATGGGGCTTCTAAAGGGACTTAGCTCAGAGGGTTGTGAAGATTAAATGCATTTCTGCATGCAAAGGGCCTAACATCGTTCCTGGCACACTGGAAGTGATCAATAAATGTCAGTTGTTATGTGTTGAAAGGAGACAGAACTAACAGAGCTTTTTAGAGAGACAAGGAATGATAAATTTGTATGAATAGGCCATCAGCCACAGACTAATCAGCCAGCTGGGTTCACAAAACAACCAGCACAGTTCCTGACTTAACTGGCCTATGACCTTCTGACAAACTTGAAAGAAAAATGCTTTCACTGTTTTAACTCATAAATGTGTCAAAATGAATTTGGTGTCGTCTCTGTGTTAGTCCAACTGTATTGAGTAAGCCAACACTGATTGCAACTCATTACCAAGGAACCTAAAAGGAAATGTGCATATTGACCGTTTACTGAGTGTTTACAAGATATCCTGGTACCTTTGAGTGACCTCGCTTTCTTCAGACATAGGCACCGACTCTGAAAAGCTGCTTGAATGGAGCAGTTGAATACTCAATATATGAGAGCCTGAACTGTAACAGTCCAGAAAATTCAGGGAGATTTTTTAAGAGTTAGTAAAATGTACACGCATAATCTCATTTGCCTCGTCTTCTTGTGAAGTATTTCAACTAGTGAAAATTTTTAGGAGTCCTTTTCATTAATGTTACAGTCTTACGTGTGGTAGATACATAGCAAGACCTTTTTTTTTTTTCTTTTTTTTAGCTGAGCCATCCTGCTACCTGTTGGCAGCTCAGCGGCTGCTCAGCTCGGGCTGGACTCGAACCGCTGTTGCTCAGAGCTCAAACTCTTGAGCGAGCTCTTAACCAACTGAGCCACTCGGCTGGCCCTTATAGCAAGACCTTTTTGAGAAGTCAGGATCCTAGATATTCCTAAACTTCTGTGACAGAAGTATGTTTTTTAAAAATTGTAAAACATAAGTTTTTGCAATCTTCCCTTCTCCCTCCACCCAGCTAAGGGAATGGGGTTAATGGGGCAAGTGGCAGGGGGGAAAACTGG